CGAGAGAAAGATTATTAGTGAGGTAAGAGAAAGGAGGTCTAGTACATAAAAATTTGCACTGGATAGGACAGATTAGCTGTCCCTGCTAAACACAGTCTACTTGTCTATCAACTGCACTTCCTTTCAGGCATGCCTAGACATCAATGGGTAAGAACCATTGTACATATCAATTCCAGCATATTTTTCCAAGCCTTTTGAGATAAAAGAAAGTATGCCAACAATATGAAAAGAAGAATTAGTTGTAAAATCAAACCAGGAAGACTGACTCAAGAGGAAGCAGAACATGCATATCCTTCAATGTATTGCTGTATGAACGCATGGTACAGACAGGTCCCTTAGCAAGAGATACATACAGATACGACCTAGCATAGATCTTTGATCTATTTTTGCCTGAAGCAAGTTTTCTAATACTTTTTTGCAAAAGCTAAATGAGGCAGGGAGGTGAGGGGAATATCACAAAGCAAAACCATGTCCCTCCCAAATAAGCATCCTCATTTACTCCCAATATGAGCCAATACTGGGGACTAAAACATAACCCTGCACCCTGCAATAACCAAACAAAAAAACAACCAAACATAAACCAAATAAAAAATGCTAAAGCTTAATTACAAGCAATATTCCCAGAGCTTTTACTCTGGTTAGAATCACTACAAATGCATGGGCTATATTATTTGTGGGAGTAGAAACACATTCTTATCAGATTCTTTTTCCAGCAGAAGCAAAGCACAAAGGCAAATTCTCCTGTTCAATTTGTCCTTGGGTTCACAAGTGATGACATATGGATAACAGTGTTTTAATGGCACCTCTCACCCAATGACCCCAAGGTGCATTTACTTCCCTTAATGAACCTGGCTTCACAGCAGCTTGACAGCTTCATTTTACATTGGAACTAAGAGATTAAGTCATTTATCTATGCCATATAGCAGCACAAAATCGGCTCCTACCAGCCCGGTGATTTATGCAATAGACCACACTTGCTTTTGCACAGCATCCTGTCCCAGAACATGGTGTCACTAGGGAGGTAACACACTTCCCAGCTCTATCACTTGCTCAGACACTATTGCAAACACTATTGCATAGTTGCTTTCCAGCCCCAGCCCTGCAAAATGTTAAGTCAACAGTGGCTTAAGACACTCCTTACCTCAGAGGCTCAAGACTTCTGTTTACATTTCTAATGTTTCCTGGCAAGTTCACCCTTCTTCCCCACTACATTTAGGCAAGAAAACTAATTCTTCAATTAGTCAACTAGGGAAGCAGATTACTAGTTTTAAAAAAAAGAAGGAAAGAAGAAACACTATCCACATGTAATAGACATGGGATGTTTGATCTCCTGAACACTTAGAACTTAGACCACCTCCTGGATTACAGGAATTTCATATTGCTGTATTATGGTCATTGCTTGTGTACATGCACAGTCCTCTGCTATATGCCAATGTTCTTCCATTGAACACGGGCATTATAGCATAAGTTGAAGGACAACATGAAAAGACAACATGCCAAACAAAATAAACCTCTTGCAGCAAAAATACTTTAAAATTTGATTAAACAGCAAATTTGAATAAAACGCACCAAAACAGTAAGGTGTGCCTGCAACCCACACAACAGGCCCACTGGTGTACCAAATGAGGACTCACTACAAAGTTGTACTGGCAGAAGTTGCATGAAATCTACAGAGGCAAGAATATTAGCCAGCTCTCACTTCAGTCTCAGCCAAAGCTGAAAATTACAGCTTTGGTGCCAACCATCCTGACTCCCTGTGCCACCATTTCAGAGGGTAAAGTACTCGAATCCTATGCTAAGGGACCACTGTTCTCTTACAGCAGATTTTCACCCTGAGATAGTAGGCCAAGCTGAGGCTCTCTTGGCAAATGTTACACAAACAAGATGCTACAGGACTTTTGCATGGGAGAGTTAATTTTGTTTTGAATTCCCCATCTTCTGCCAACACAGAATTGCACAAGATGGGGATAAGGGTGAGTAGACAAAAGGGCTCAAGGTCCTAAAGCTTCTCTATAGTACTTGAGTTGGTGACGTGTTTTTGCTGATCCCACATCAATGCCCTCATACCTTTTTAATGGATTTAACAGATGAAAAAAGTATTTCCAAAAGAGAATCATGCTGGTGCCAATTGAAAGTCAGTTCCTCAATGTGACTTAATACAGCTTGCATCAGGCATCTCACCCTGCAACTGACATCTTAAACGCCAGTAACTCTGGACAACTCCTGTATTTCTGCCAAACTAAATGTCATTAATTATGCAGTTCTTTTTTTTCCCAGAAGACTGCAATTTATAGGTCATATTTTTACTTCCCTTTACTGAGAACAACAAACAAGAACTTACACTTCCCTTTCTCTGACAAGTACGGTCATGCATTTTTCCTTTATTGTTTAATTAAAGCTGTTTCAGCCTCCAAGAAACTTGTGCCTATGTTTTTGGAGGCAGACTAATGGCTCTAAAGTAACTGTAAAGACAGAAGGAGGAAGGCAATACTTCATAGGCTAGATGCTATTATACATTTAAATGGAACAAATAACAAGCCATTTCCAAGATTTCTCTACAGCTTTACAAATCAAAGTAAAAAGAAAGATGCAAACTGGCACCTAACCTTGTTAATATTCTGGTACATTCCTTCAGTTTCATATTTTCCTACTTACTTACTCCTTCTCCACACTTTAATATAGTGGATTTGCTCCCAGTAAAGTGGAACTTTTCTAGACTAAATTAAAACTAGAAAAACTCTTTAGGAAGATGCTTTACTGATGACTGACACTAGTCTTTACAATCTCCCAGTTTCCAGACAGATTTGCTGTCCTTCAATGCTAACATTCCTCTCGGACCTTACATTTTCCCTTTTAAGATCTGACTAGAAAAAGAGCCAAAGGAAAACCAGACCCATCTTCCAGCTCTGTCTGCTGAGAGAGCTCCATTCCATGACCAGATCCATAATACAAAATGGAAAAAAAAATATTGAAATCAACAGTTAGAAAGGGAATCCCTGCTTTAAAAAAAAGAAATAAAATAAAACGCTATTAAGGAATTAAAATAAAACTGAATGCATAGCAAATTAGCAGATCGGGGAAAAATAGCATTTAAACCTAACTAGTGACAGAATGGATTGGCAGAAAAATATTACTCTCTCTAACAAGCCAAATACCAGAGCAGTGACTCTACTAATCTAAGTACCTTCAGTGGTTTGAGTTCCTTAGTGGTCTTACAAAGCACCTTTGAAGCAGAATGACTGAATGGATTTCAGAGGGCAGCAAAGACATAACGATACAAAACTCCATTTCCAGGACAATCTGCTGCCAACTTCAGGACAGAGGACAAAGTTCACTGCTCTCAGTATTTGATGTTACAAACCTCAAAGTCAACTGATTTTTTTGTTGATTTTTTTGTTGTACTGCAAAGTATACGTTTTTACCATTGACCTTTCCAAGTACAACTCTTGAAGTTCTATGCATGCTGTGCCTTACATAGCTATTTATAGTAATAGTAGCATAAGATCATGCTTGAGCTGGGGTTTCAGGGACTTTTTTCTTTTTTGAATTGTTCTTGATTTTGTTACTAACCTCTCTAGCTCACTACTGGTTTATCTCTAGCACACACCATAGGCCCCATGAGCAGGGACTGCTTTCAGAGCAGGTACAGATAACTAGACACCCTGCTTACTGTGCTTTGAAGCAGAGTTCATCTGTTTGCCATACTGATTCTAGTCTGCAGGATCAGGCCTAATAGCCCCTACACATCATCCCCACTGCCTGAGACAATGGCTCCAGAACAATGCTGTGCAATTTAAGGGATCAACATGGTCACATACAATCTTGCATGCCACGTCCCATCAATCCAATTCCTGCTTCACCACCTTTCCAAGGAGTGATGTTTATGTTGATGCCTCCCCTTCCTGTTCCTGGTTCTGAGGATGCATTCTGTTCTCTCCCCCCTCTCTTACCCTGCCAGCTTATCTCTGCCTTCTGTCACACACCTACACTACTCCATATCCCTCAACTTCATCCACTACTTATTTTTACAAACAAAATCCTTCTGTAATTTTCATGTATTTCACACATGTTATCCCACCTCTCACTCTTCCCTTGAACACAATCACTTCCTGGCTACCCAGCCACAGATGGCCTCCATGCACTGCTCCAGGCAACCACAGAAGCAGCAGCTCTGGGCAGTTCTTCCTGACTCTCCGCACCTCAAGAGAGAACAGAAGTAGCAAGCAGGAACAGCCTTTCATTGAGGAAAAACCAAAAAGCCTGACACCAGCAAACCCCACTGCAGACACCAAGCACTGCCCAAGCCCACACACTCAACTCTCAGCAGCTTTTTTCCTTAAAATGAAAAGCAGCCTGACATCTCACGAGCTTTCTTGCTTTCCCTTCACCCAGCAGGTCACACCCTTCCACACCTTGCTCTTCCTAGAGCTACACAGACCTGTCAACAACCAAGTACGAGTTTGGACAAGGGAGGTAAGGTCCTGATGACAGAGAAAGCAGAGCTCATTTTCTCCCCAAACCAGAACACTTCACAGCCACATTTAGCACATTGCTGCTTCATCACAACCTAATCAGCACCAAACCCTGCCCCACTCCAGCCTCTTTCCCAGCAGCTTCCAGTTACAGCAATTTAGCTGCTGAGCATTTTGCTTTAAGAAAAAGGAGATACACAAAGTCTGCACTGTATTTTCAAACAATTACAACTACAGATAGGACAGAGTAAGGCTCTGAAAGACCATTGATAATGAGAGGAGAAGAGAACTAATCTTGCTATTGATAATTTCTGTCTGCTGTAGCTAGCTGTTCCTGGACTGAAGAACATGTGCAGCTGTGATTGTGAAGAAATACATTTTTGCCATTGATTCCCATGGCTGACATGCAACTGAAGACACAGATCAGTGTCGGCCAAGTGCATATACTTAAGATGTTAATAACAGCAAGAAAGCAACGCAATCAGTATGTGTTTTCCCATCACCAGCACAAGCTCATAAGGTTCTCACCTGCCTGGCCACCCTCCGAGCTTCCCAGTAAGGTTTAGAGTCTTCTACAGCTTTTCCAATCTTCTTTACCAGTTCATCCAGTTTCACCGTTGCTTCAACCAGCACAGAGCGGAACTTCTGGCGTGCATCCTTCACAATGTTGCAGAAAGGAAAGAAAGGAAAAAGAGAGGTTAGAGCTTTAAAAATTATTTCTGCCTGTTTGTTCCTAGCTCCAAGTTTCTCTTTAGAGTCACACATAAGCTGACACATGCAAAACAGTTACTGAGTTACTGGCATTTGCACTAAGATGGAATTCTTCAGCAGAGGAACCCAGGAACACAGAACTGCATCTGAAGGCTGGCATCCTGAACACCAAAACTGTGTCTTTCAGAGACAGCTTTTTTACAACATCTACAACAGCCTGTTCTAGATGTCACCTCTGGCAGGGTTTCTCAGACAGGAATAGTTTGTAAATTACTCAGTGAGGAGGAAAACAGCAAGCAGCATAACTAGTTCAGAGAGGGAGTTCAATGGCAAAGACATCTCGTATAGACAATGCTAGATTGGAGCTAGCAGGCAGGCCAAAATCCCCAGAGCAGGCTAGCAAATCAGCTGGAATTAGCATCTCCTAAACCTTAGCATGTCCACACCTAGTACTGGTCCCCCAGGGACATCATTTCACAAAGCAAACGAGGATGTTTCCTGCAGGAAGAACTGGACACTTTCCACGTGGTATATTTTCAAGTCAGCTCCTCTTTCCTTTTATAAACACACCCTACTCACTTTGATAGCAGCAAAAATTTTCCAGATCCTTGTGGCAAGACTCCCTGCCATAAAAGCCTATCTTTTCAGCTATGTTTTGTATCAATAGTTAAGGACACCTTTTATTCCATTTCGTTGTTATTATTTACTACATATAAGAAAACTAAATTCCAGCTACTTCCAAACTAGATGAGTTGCTCTCCTTACATGATTAGCTGATGCAATTAAAAAATTTTGTTTGCTCCACTGAAATTTCCACAACTGTAAGCAAATTGATTCTGATTTCAATCTCAGAATCCAACATAGACCCTAAATATATGGAATTATTGCAGAGTGATGCAAATTCAGCTGGGACCTGGCCCAGGATTTAAGGAGATGAAGAGGAAGGGCCATGTGAGCTCTCAACAAGGCTTGTAACTCTAATTAGAGTGCAGCATTTATGCAGACTGCTGGAGTGACATGTTGATTATCAGGAAGCAGCTGGCTTGAAGAAGCACCCTAATTCAAGAGGGTTTTGTCATTATGGTTGAGGATTTCTAGAATGCAAAAGTGTTGATTATTGGAAAATTTAAAATACATTGGAACCTACCACTATGCTCTCAGAAGTGGAAAAAATCTGAAACAATACATTGTTTTTACAGAAAAAGCAACATAGTTCTATAAAAGCTTCTTTCCTTCCTTTGTAGTGTTATCTAAAATCTGAATCAGCATCAGTACCATTTTAGTCTAATGCAAATAGCTTTAGATTCTTAAGGTACTCCAATTTATTCTAAGGAATTATTCAAATGGGTAACAAGGTCAGAAATGGAGAATTAAATGCACATTAACTTATTATTTTATTAACTCCAATCCAGTCAATAATCTCATTTCTTAGTGGAAGCCTAAAATGTATCATTTAAACAATATGTATCGAGTCAATGATTTCACTCAGTGAGAAGAGTTTGAATATTTGCAATTAAATTACTGGACAATACATGGTTCACTGCTCAAAATGAGTTTCACAAGGAACTGAAATAAAACTGCAAGCATGATGACTATATTGCAAGAAAAATATTAAGTACTGAAGTATATTTAACCAAAAAACATTCCTGTAAGTGCATGACAGAATTTAAAGCCCATTTCTAAATAAGTGAGCCTTTTTGTCTTTGTCAGTGACATAGACAGTGGGATTGAGTGCACACTCAGCAAGTTTGCTAACGACACCAAGCCACTGTGGGACAGTCTACATGCTGGAGGGAAGGGATGTGCCATCCAGAGGGACCTTGACAGGCTTGAGAGATGGGTTGATGACAACCTCATGAAGTCCAACAAAGCCAAGTGCAAGGTCCTACATCTGGGTCATGGCAATCCCAGACACACCTGTAGGCTGGGCAGAGAAGTCATTGACAGCAGCACTGAAGAGAAAGACCTGGGCGTGACAGTTGATGAGAAACTCAACATGACCTGGCAGTGTGTGTTCGCAGCCCAGAAAACTAACCACATGCTGGGCTGCATCAACAGGAGTGTGGCCAGCAGGTCAAAGGGAGGTGATTCTCCCCCTCTTCTCTGCTCTCATGAGGCCCCACCTGGAGTACAGCATACAGTTCTGGTATCCCCAATATAAGAAGGACATGGAACTGTTGGAGCAAGTCCGGAGGAGGTCACAAAGTTGATAATGGGACTAGAGCATGTCCCCTATGAAGACAGACTGAGGAAGTTGGGGCTGTTCAACCTGAAGAAGAAAAGGTTGTGGGGACCTCATAGCAGCCTTCCAGGATCTGAAGGGGCCTACAAGGGAGCCAGAGAGGGACTCTTAGTCCTGCAGTGATATGGTCTTATCCAATAGGAAAAACATGACTAGTCTCCAACCTGGAGTTTCAAACAAGAAAAAAATAAACCAAAAATCACCTAGGACAGAGCAGTCAAAGTAACGGCAACTTCTGTACCCATTCATCTCCTACCAACTCAGATGATGCAAATGCAAATTACTAAACTGTAACTAATCTTGTAACTGGCACCTGAGGCATAGGTCTTGCAAACAGTTAGGGACACATTTGCCCATGAGCATGGGCCCACTC